AGAAATATACACACACCCTCACCTATGTGCACAGACACATCCACACCTACACACCCCACACACATGTATATATGCGCATATGCACATGTTCACACGATATATACACATATACCTATATACTCAAATGCATATTCATATATAAACACATATGCATATAAGTAACCATATGTACACAATCAAACACACATTTGGGTGCTAACAAAGTAGAGACAGTGAGTACAGTATGTTTTAAAGAGAAGAAAGGTAAGAGAAAAGTATTGGTTTCTCTCTCTCTTTCTTTCTTTCTTTCTTTCTTTCTTTCTTTCTTTCTTTCTTTCTTGTTTTTGTCTTTTTGAGACAAGGTCTGGCTGTGTAGTTCAGGCTGGCCTTGATCTCATGGTGATCCTCCTGCCTCAGCCTCCCAAGTGCTGAGATTACAGGATTAAAGGCATGTACCACCATGCCCCGCAGCAGTGGCTTTTCTATTTCGAAAACTATTTCAAAAGCTCACTGAGGCTAAGGAGAAAATCTTAGTGGGGTGGTTAGATACTAGGGAGTTCAGTTCATCAACAACTAAATTTAATTTCAAATCTGCCATTATTACCTTCTGGGTATTACTCTCTGATTCAATTTCCCTTTCTTTTACACAGGGATTATCATGATTCTAACTTCTTGGGTTAGTATGAGGTTTAAATGAGGTGGCATGGTTAAACAGCTTACCACAGTAGTTGGCTTGGAGGAAGCACTCACTACATATTAAATTCCTAATTTCTTGATGATATTATTGTGAGGACAATATTTTCCTCATAATGCTGTTCAGTGAAAAAGTCTTAAACTGCTTTTAAGGTGAATGGAGTAAAAAACCATGTATTAAATGAATAGATGGTCACTGGTTAAAGTCCATTTTTAAAGATGTAAAAATTCCAAACTATAATTTATAAATGACACAAACAGCCAGGCATTATAGTCATTTGTAAGAAAATCTGAATCTATCTAAATGACTCTCATTTAGCATTATTAAATAATTTCTGTGGCTATACTTTCAAGGTAAAAATGGATAAACTATTGTTGAATACCACAAACATTTGCCAAGTATGATACACTTGACCCTCTTGTTATTAGGATATGAATATCATTTGATATTCTTCACTGATATGATAAAGCAATTCACAAAAATGAAATAAAATAATGAAACTAATAATCAGACAATTCTAAATTAAATTGAGAGGTTATTTTGGGGCTATCAACTTGGCAAAGACAAAAAGATGGATAATACTTTGGTGCTAGTGAGGGCACAATATAATTGACACTCTTGTACATTTTTGGTAGGAATATAAATTGGTATAACCAATCCTTTTTGAGACCAATTTACCTGTACAGGTAAAAAAAAATTAATATAGTCTTTAACTGATCAATTCCACTTATCAAATTATATCTTCAGGAAATATAAGACAGGTGTAGTGTTGCATGCCTGTAATCCCAGCACTTGGGAGGCTGAGGCAGGAGGATCATTGCAAGTTCCAGACCAGCCTGGCTACAAAGTGAGCTCAAGGCCAGCCTGAACTGCATAGTGAGACCCTGTCTCAAAAAGAAAAAAAAAAAAAAAAAAAAAAGAAATATAACCAGGCAAATACACAGAGATGTGTATATATGTATGTGTTCATGATAAAATAAACTGGAAGCCACATAAATGCCTACCAATATAGAAATGCTTATATAACTTATGATACATCTAGATACCAGAACTCTGCAGCTACAGAAAAAGGTGAAAAAAAATATATATACAAGATAGTTAAGATAGTTTCTCTTAGTTAATTGAAAAGCAAGGTTTGAGCTAATATTGTTTGGACAATATTTCATGCTTATATCTTCTACTCTGAGTAACTACTATGAAGGTATATGCAGTGCATGAATTATGGTTTCTCTGCTACCAGCCTGTTTTGAAATTGTTTTATTTTTTTTTCTCTTTAAAAAAAAGGTTAGACTGTTTTGGGCTGGCATGGAAAGATGTCAGTGTTTTATACAGGGTACCATTTTAATATTTTTAAAGAATATAAAAAGTGTATCCATAGGAAAAATAAACCTATGTATTTCTAATTGTAGAAAAACAAGCTAGGCCTTGTGGCACACATCTGGAATCACAGCACTCAGGAATCTGAGGAAGGAGGATCAGAAGTTTGAAGCCGGGGCTGGGGATTTAGCTCAGTGGCAAAGCGCCTGCCTGGCAAGTGCAAGGTTGTGAGTTCAGTTCCCGGTACCGGAGAAAAACCAAAAAAAAAAAAAAGTTTGAAGCCAACCTGGGCTCTGTAGGGAGTCTGAGACCCTGTTTCAAAAAGCCGAAACAAAAAAACTCCACAAAAATAAAAAAGTTTTAGGGAGGTGTAATTTATACACCACAAAATTCACCCATTATCAGCATACAACCAATGATTTTTAACAAATTTATATAGTACAGCCATCATTCAAATCCACTTTTATAACTTTTTTATTACCCTCAAAGTTCATAGCCTTAATGTTCATAAGATTATGTTTACAGGCTTAAAGTTTTTTGGCCATGTTTATTATTTTTATTATTTTATTTTTTAAAAAACTTGCAAAAGAGGTTCATTTCTTTTTCCCATAATATATGAAAAAATCAATGAGACTGTGTCTATTTATTAGGGATGTCTGAATTTTAGCTTTGCTTTGTTAGTAATTTTTAAAAAACAAGATACTTTATTGAAGAATGATTGACAAAATTTTTTCATATTTAATTCTGAAACTTCATAAATTTGGAGACAAGTGTACATCCATGAAATTATACTCATTGTGCGTGCCATGAATATATTTTTTATTTGTTCTTTCATTTTGTTTTCTTTGGTTTTTTTTTTTTGGTTTTTGTTTTTTTTCCGGTACCAAGAATCGAACTCACGACCTTGCACTTGCCAGGCAAGCGCTGTGCGGCTGAGCTAAATCCCCAGCCGCCTTTGTTTTGTTTTGCAACAGAGTCTCGCTATGTATTCCCGGCTGGCCTTGAACTCTCTATGTAGCCCAGGCTGGCCTTAAAATCATAGAGATCTTCCTTCTTCAGCCTCCCCAGTATTGATTGGGATTACAGGTGTGTACCGCACCTGGCTATGCCATGAATTTATCCATAACCACAGGTTTACCTTTTTTTTTTAAGTACACTGGGGACTTGAACCTAGGGCTTTTGCACTAAGCTACATTTCTAGTCCTTTTTATGTTTTATTTTGAGGTAGGTCTTTCTTGCTAAATTGCTTAGTTTGCAGGTTGGGCTGGAATTTGTGATCCTCTTGCTTCGGCCTCTCAGAGTGCTGGGATTACAGGCATGTGCTACCACACCCAGCTCTGGTTTAATTTTTAACAGTTTTTAACTCAGGAGTGAATTTGAGTGGAAGGGTACCCAGAAGGGAGCATTAGAATGCTTGCTAGTTCATAATTTCTATATATGAATTATTTTTAACAAGGACGTACCTATTGTTTTTTAGAGAAAACAGTAAACGCTTTCCTATCTTGAAAAGAACAATTAAAAAAAAAAAAAAAAGAAAAGAAAACATGACATGTAATCTTTAACCCAAATCTACTTCTGGTGATTTATACTGAGGAAATAAATATGTAGGAAGAAAAAATTTGTAAATAATCTAAATATCTCATGATGGAAGAGAACAATTACTAATTTTCTTTTTTCTTTTTTTTTTGAGACAGGGTCTTACTATGTGGTCCAGGCTGGCCCTGAACTTGCTACGCAGACCTATCCTAGTCTTAAACTTGTATACTCTTGCATCTGCCTCCTGAGTGATAAGATTATAGCTGTGTGCCCTGGCACCCAGCAAGAATAGTCACTAGTTGTACTAGAATCGAAACATGCTGGATGAAAAGACTTTGTATTCTGTTTGCTTGTTTATTTATTTGGCTTTTTTAAAGACAACATCTTGCTATGCAGTTTAGGCTCGTTTTGAACTCACTACAGCATGTAGCTCAGGCTGCCTCCCAACTCTTAGCAATATATCCTGCCTCAGCCTCCCAACGGCTGGGATTACAGGTGTGGGTTACCATGCCCAGCAAAAACTTTGTACTGTATTTAGTATAATCTCATTTATGCAAAAAAAAAGTTAATAAACGGCCACAAAAGTCCTGTTAGGAACAATAACATCTCACTAATGGTTACATTCAGCTGGTGGGATTCTAGTACTTTTTATTTTATTCTTTGTGTATCTCTTAATTTTCTCCATAAACGATAGTAATAAAATAGATTAACTATGGTATTGTTTTCATAGGTCTCTAAAGGGCACATTTTTAATATATATAGTGGATTGTACGTCAGTTATACTCTGTCAAACTAGAAGTAGAAGGAGCTTGAGAAACTAAGTCATCTGAAGCCTGTCTAGGCTGGTTTTTTGTTTTGTTTTGTTTTGTTCTGGCTTTTTGAGACAGGGTCTCGCTATGCAGTTCAGGCTGGCCTTGAGCTCACTTTGTAGCCCAGGCTGGTCTCAAGCTTGCAAAGATCCTCCTGCCTCAGCCTCCAGAGAGCTGGGATTACAGGCGTGTGCCACCATGCCCGGCCCAGGCTGGGTTTTGTTGGAATAATTTGGGTCCTGGGGCACAGAAGCTGGGAAGGGGCGGGTGGACATTATAGGAGCAGCAGTACGGCCCTGCGCCTGATGCCCCTGCGCACTCCCTCCCAGGTCTGCCTTCCTAGGCCAAGCCAGGATGCCTCCAAGTAGTGTACTCAGACACTGGAGCCAACAGCCCCCACCCTGACAGCGCCCGTGTGTGTGTGTGTGTGTGTGTGTGTGTGTGTGTGTGTGTGTGTGTGTGTGTACCTGAGGGGTGTAGGTCACCACTGACAGGTTTCAGCCCGCGCCCTGTTCAGCGGAGTCACCGAGGGCGGCACCCGGTTTCTGGCTGCGGAGGTGGCCAGGTTGGGTCGCCTCCAAGGCAGTGTCCCGGTCCCCACGCCAGAAGGGGCTCAAAAACTTTTATGCAGCATCTGCGCCTGTCTCATCTGCACACTTACGCACAGTAAGAACCCAGGCCCGGCGCGCAAAGGGTTTGCGTCCACCGCCTCTCCCGGCTCCGGCACAGCCTTCGCTGGGACTCTTCGCACCTTCGTCCACAACGGGAAACTGAGGCTCGAGGAGGCCAGCTACGCGGTTCACACCTCCACTCCGCGCGCTCTGGGAGCCGATGTAGGAAGGAAACAGCCACCTTTACCCTTCTCCCCGCCCCGCGAGGCAGGCATCGCCAGCGGCCCGGCCGGAGGCCGCCGCTCCGGAGCGGCTCACGCGCAAGGGCGTAGCGCCGGCAGGCGAGCGGGCATCCCGCTCGGGAACGCG